CTTCATACTCCACCTATCATGGGTTGAATGCCTTGTTCCATTTACTTAGCGTTTCTCATCAAATATTTCAATGGTGAATTGTTTCGTGAACCTGTGCCCAGGAGCTCCCGGGTAACTGCATCTCTTTTGTTAGTTTTGTTCCCATTGAAAACATCTTTGATGCCCTTATAGTAGGAAACTATTTGAATCTTGCTCAATTTATTCGTTATTCTTTTTTCAGGACTCAATGTTTGATGTTTTCCTTTTCTTTGCATCTGAAAGGGTTTCTTTACTCTTGTCATCTTTTGGATAACTCGTTCTACTCCCACAATATTTGTCGAGTTTGAAATAGATATGACCTGTTCGGATTGTAGTGCAGAAAAGTCATGCATTTGATCTTGATCATGTCTTGTAATACATATTTTAGAACTGCATTAATGTTCGGGTTAGAACCTCTCATATTCATGTGTAGTCAACCATTGATTGAACTTGTACTTCTCCTCGCACTTTTGATTACCCCACATGTTCCCTGGATGTCATTATGCCAATTCGAAGTGTAATAATCTAAAGTGGTAACCTTGCACTTCGTCTCTTTCTTATATTACAGTCGTGCTCCCGTGCTTTTGACCTCTTGCATCATAACTCATTTGTCCATTAATGAAAGCTATTCAGAGTTTGAAGAACACTTTAGGGATCAACACCTCTTATGAAATAATGCAGATGACAATAAAACGGAAGAAAATAAATTAGTACGATGAATTAATAATCACAACAAAAATCATAACAGTTCCTATCCCTCATGATATCTACCCGAACATGCTTTTGTTCCTACCCGGATATGGTTTCTAATCTTCCATGCTCTTCGTTGGAAATATAATCCTAACCATATATATTTCTAGTTCGTATGCTTTTGAAAAATAAAAAGGCATGAAATAAAACAACATCATCATAGGGTTTGCATGAGGTTTAGGGGTAGGCTCTAATCTTCCACAACAACATAGTTTGCGTTCTAAAGTAGGGACCCGAGTTCTCGTTATTGGTGCACCCTTAGGCCTGCCAGACCCTCAATCATAAACTCATCACGGGCTTCTGTGGATCGAGTTAAAGTTGAGGGGGTACATTCCTCTATGTTCATGCGAATAATAAATTCATACGAAGACATAGAGTATATGAACCCCAGAGGCTAATTGCTAGGCCCATACGAGAAATAAATTCCTATAAAATCGTCGCTTTTACCCCTACATGTAAAGGTTTAGAGCTCGAGTATAGAGCTTGAAATGAATTTTTTGAAAATCTAAAAACAATGGAAGCACACGTCAGTACAACTATTTATTTGAAAATTAATCAAAGATAAATAAAAATAGATCTAAAATAAATTAAAAATTTAAACTTACAAATTTCGTTAAAAAAGACAGCAAAGTCTCCAGTGAAGTCGCCAAGCTGTCGCAACGGTCCTTCGGGTGGTACCAGGTGCACGCTTTGACTTGGAATCGTGAAGGAGTCGCGACATATCATTTTGAATGAGGTAGATCGAACACCCTATTTTTCCCATTTACCAGATCTATATCTTACCAGAGAATTGTCAGGTTGGGAGTTGATTACAATCGGGGAAGGGGAAGCACCCCCGAATTACCCTTTTAGTACCATATGATTATCATATTGTCTTCATTGCGAAAATTATAAGTTTAAATAAAAATTTAAATTCGATCCCAAATTTATTTACCTTTAATGAGCTTTAATTAGGTCCCTAAAAAATAAAATTAATGTTAAAGAAAAAATTAGTAGTAAAACAAATAATAAAAACAAATAATAAAGTAAATAAATAAATAAAAGAAAGTAAATAAAGGCTACAAAATAATAAAAATGAATCAGGGTACCAATTTATAAAATAATAAATAAAATAAAAAATGATTAAATTAAAACGAAAAGGAAATTTAAGGGTGAAATCACGAGTAGTGACTGAATTAAACTACACTTCAAAATACCAGGGGTGAGGAAATAATTTAAGAAACTTGAAATTACATAGGGGTCCCTCATATATAAATCCCCTAAAACCCAGATTCCCTTTCATTTGTGCCTTTCTCACCAAAACACAACTCTTCCCTTCTCTCAAACTCTATCGTGCAGACCCAAGACTTGGCCACCTTCCAACGAGACCTCCACCGCTTCCGTGTCGTCTTGCTCGTTGTTCTGGCCACCATCACCGTGATGGTGGCCTAAAATCCTAAAACTACCCATTTTGAAAGTATACTTCACCCTGATATCAAATTTGGCCACCAATTATCGAAAAGGGACTCTGATCGGCATAGATCTACAACGAAAACTCTACGTTTTTTTACCTTTATAGACGTCGTACATCAGCGTTCCTTTACACTGTTTTTTTTTTCCACATCAACGAATGACTTCCAAGCTAATTTTTTGCCTTCCACCTCTTTTTGATTTTTTGGGGTTTTTGAAAACTGATCCCCCTCTTTGTCTACTTCGCAGGTTTTTATAGCATGGTGGGGGCACTTTTCCCTCTTGCCCGACGATATTATCGTCCCTAAATCGACGAGATTTGATTAATTTCTCTTCTCGTTTTGATTCTCACATTTTGACTTATTTGCTGATTTGATTCTATCTTTGTTGCCATATTTGATTATAGGATTTCCTTGTGGGTTAGCATGGAATTTTTCGAATCTGACCGATGCATGGAATTGTTCTCATCGGCACGTGGTTCTCACGTGCCATTAAACGACTGTTCGGTGACTTTCGATATTCTTGATGAATCATCGGTCGTTGGATCAAAGGAGCTTGATCCAACGGATTTCAGTCGGTTGCGTTAATGATATGATTTAGGGTTGTAAAACCCTAGCCCTCGCCTCCAATCTTGACCGTTGATAGACAGCTTGATCCGATTGTGTTCCTCATGCGACGCCAATGCTTAAATTTGAAACCCTAATGTGTATGTGGGCTAGGTCAGGCCTGCATGCTCAATTGGGTTTTTCTCTTCATTTTTGGACTCTTCTTGGATCCCTGGACATTTTATGACTTGGAGCTCAAATTGAATTGTGAACTTGGACAATGATTTTCAGACTTGGACCTGAAAATTAAAATAAAAAGAAAAATAAAAAAATAAAAAATAATAATAACATATTATTCAAAACATATAATATATATTTTCAATAAAACATATATATTTTAAAATATAATATATATTTCAAAACTATATATGTATTGAAAAATATATAATAATATATATTATTGAAAAACTGTAAATATTTTCCAAAACTATATATATTTTTTAAAAATATAATATATATATTTTTAAAAACAATATATATATATATGAAAAACTATAAAAATATATATTTCTATAATAATAAGAAAATGCAACATAAATCCCGGGAGAAATTGAGTGTCTACGGTATCGGTCATTAACCCTCGTTAGCTCATTAACAAAACTGAGTTCATAATTAAATAATAAAAAATAATCCACGTGTGTTCTTTCTTTATAAACATGTAAAAGAGAATAATGGACAATTGAGCAGCCACGAACTCAGAGATAATAGTTGTTACGAAAACTTAAACAAAAAATTGAGCAAATGTAGAAACTCAAGCAATATATACATAAAACAGTGAGTAAAAAACTGTAGTTCACAAACACGAGGATGTCATAAGCAGGGTTGGTAAAGTTACTCGTTCATTTTAGAAATCAAATAAGATAGAAGAGTCAAAGGCTTCCTCTGGGGACACGTTGCAATCGATAACAACCAGTGGTCCCACATTATCATTTAACTTGCTCATTCCTTCATGTTTGAAGACATCCAGCACCGTATCATTCCACCGTATCGTGCTAGCTAATGTTGGTTGGTCATTTTTGCCTTTGTCATTGCAAGGTTCGTTTTGGTCAACTTGTGGTGGGGCTTGATTTTCCTCCACATTCCCACAAGTTGGCAAGGAATTCATCCATGTTCATGGACGTGAAAGTCTTGCCACTCTTTAGTTGGATCTCGTCGATAGTAAGTGAGAAATGGAACCCGTTTGTTCGAGGAAAAAACGAATTGATCCTTGTCAACTCGTCACGCTGCTGCGGTAATTGCATAGAACAACCTCAAACTAAATCAAAAGAAAAAAAACCTCAAAAAAGTTCCTGCAATAAGAAATTAAAACACAAACACTACAGCAAATTGGGTTGCAATTTTAGCGGCGTTTTTTGAACAAACGCCGCAAAAAACCTAACTTTAGAGGCGTTTGTATAAAACGCCGCAAAAGATCTTACTTTAGTGGCGTTTGTATACAAACGCTGCTAAAGATTAGTATTGTAGTGGCATTTTTACACAAACGCCGGTATAAAATCGTTCTTTAGGGGCGTTTTTATACAAATGTCGCTAAAGACTCGTACTTTAGTGGCGTTTTTATAAAAGCGATGCTATAACTCATACTTTACTGGCGTTTTTATAAAAACACTGCTATAACTCATACTTTAGTGGCGTTTTTGTTTACAAACGCCGCTATAGACTCGTACTTTAGTGGCGTTTTTGTTTACAAACGTCGCTATAGACTTGTACTTTAGTGGCGTTTTTATAAAAATGCCGCAAAAGACTCGTACGCTAGTGGCGTTTTTATACAAACGCCGCAAAAGACTCATACGCTAGTGGCGTTTTTATACAAACGCCGCAAAAGACTTGTACTTTAGTGGCGTTTGTACCGCAAATTTACAGTTTTAAGACCCCTTTAACCCTTTTTCATTTTTTTCCCTTCACCTATTTTTTCATTCCCGCCGTTTACTCAAACCCATCTGCTGCTTCTTCTCCAATGGGGGGCTCTTCTTCTCAACACTTCGTTCAAACAAATTCTCACTACAAAAAAGGTTGCAAATGCAAAGTTGTCTTCAGTCTAGAACTGTTTGGCATGACGTTATCGAAAAACATTGCCCATTTTTGTTGTTAATCGCGAGGTATTTGGCATGATATTCACTGTTTCTCTCCCTCACTGTCGAAGAAAGAAACCAAAAAAAAAAACTTGTTAGATATTTTCTTTTTTCTTTAGCAAATCACAGTGTATTCGAGGACTCTCATATTTGTCTGCAGAAATCAGGTTTAAGTTAAACCTCTCTTCCATATATAATTTTTTCTTCGCCTCTCATTATTGCCCTTTTCATTTGTATTCAATGTTTAGATTCAGATCCACGCAGTTATATCTGACTATCTATTATGTTATAAATTATTATTTGATTTCTCCTTTAGATTATTGAGTTTTGCGTTTAGCTTCTGGACAGCGGTGATGTTGGGCGCTTTAAGGAGAAAAGTTGCGACCGGAGGTTCATCAGCTTCGGTTAGAACTGTTAACCTCTTTTTATTTTAATTGTGGTTTATTCAGCTAAAGGATAAAGCACTTGGATTTTATTGAATTGTTTTTTCCATTTCTTTTACAGGTATTAGGGAAGTCCTTGCAGGTGATTCGGCCGAGCGTTTCAGCATCTAGAGTGTCTTCAAATGTTGGAAAAGAGGTAAATAGTTCAGTTGAAATTGAATATGATTCGATAACCATGCTAGTGGTTCGGTTTCTCTTGAATTTTTATTGATGTTGTTATTTGTTGCTATTAAACCTTTAATTTATGTAGAAGATGTTTGGATTTTTATCATACATTGGTAACCATTCTCACGAGAATTAAATTTAAGTGTTTGAACAGATTATGTTTCTTCAACCGAGGGGAATTGTCCATGTCCGCAACTTCTCTCATCTTGTTCTACCAGGTAAATCTTTGGCTTTGTTTTGTTCTCATTTTGGTAAAATTCTGTTGATTGTCGTTGTTATTAATTGAAATTATTTCTTCATTATTTCAGGCTCTTCTGCTGGCTTGACAAAGACAAGGTTAGTTGGTAGTGAACTTTTGTAACCCACATCAATTTTTGGAATTGTACTGTCACTTGTTTGTCATTTCTTATCACGGTGAGGATATGAGTGAACTGCAGGAGTGATATGATTTATGTAGGGTGATTAGCATATCTATCATTACCAGAAGGTCCATTTCAGTGTTAATTAGTCCACCTCATTTTTGTTTATCCAGAAACTATATTAGGCAGGGAAATTAGAAAGGAAATTCCAATGCCCGTGCTTTTTTTGTTCTTTAGATCAGTTTACCGCTCCTTGGCACTTCTTTCCCCTGACAGCTTTTCTTATGTGCAGGGATGTCATCTCTAGCATTCAGTCGGAGACTATCATGCAAAAGTCATGCAAGGCTTTCTCTTCTGGCGATGGTATGATATTGATCAACGTCCTCTATGATATTAATTTTACCAAATGCCTATTAGCGTTTTTTCCTTGTTTAAACTGGTTACTATTATTAAAACATGGGTGTGGCATTTGGGGTTTTGTTAGAATTTAGTTCCTGTATATTCTAATTGTTCATTTGATGAGCAACTTATCTGGATTAGACCATTGGCAACTAAGTACTATCAAGCTCATTTAGCAGTTAGCAATAGGGCCGGCTTACCAAGAGGTACTAGGTAAGGCAGTATGTCAAAATAAGAAAATAATCTTAACCCGGAGGTTGTTTTAAATTCTTTCTCTGCAAAAGTGTGAATGCAGTAGTATGGAGATTTTGGGTGTAATTTTGTCGTATAATGAGTTGGAGTAACACTATTGTGGTACTAGACTAGCAGGTCCTTGGCTTCCACGTTTTTGTTTCTGCTTGGTACAACCATATATTCCCTTTTTATGTTAGTTTAAAAATTTTATTAACTTCCACATATTACTTTTGGTGAAGGTGTTCTGGTTGATGCTGTTTAAAATGAACAATTATGGAGACAAGTTATTTGTTTCATCTTATACTGTATTTGAATATTGATCTAATTCTTATAAATGATATTGATATAGATGGTTTCCTTTCTTGTAAAGTAGAGCTTGCTATGAAGGCTGTGCCAATCTTAAAGCAGCATTTCTTGTCACAGGAACAGTGCGGAAAATGGCCTTGAAAATGGTTGCAGACAAAGAAAAATGGGAGGAGTTGCAGAAGTTGAATCTCCAAGAAAATTTGGAATAGCTTAGGCCAGGAATCCAGCCAAATGGCATTTGTAGCTTATATTATATGCATACTAATTTATTTTTCTTTCCATATGTGGACTTGAACTCAATATTTTCGATGTAATGAACATCAAAGCTATATTACATTTAATTTTAATGTTTATAAATTTTAATTTATTTTGTTGTTAAAATTTATATAAAATTACATGATATTGAATTTAGGTGATGTATAACAAAAATGAAATATGCAAAATATCAATTAATCTTAGCTAAAGAATGGTAATTAGCGGCGTTTGTATCAAAAAACGCCGCTATATATCCGACCTTTTGCGACGTTTGTGTCCAAAAACGCCGCTATAGATCTGACCTTTTGCGGCGTTTGTATCAAAAAATGCCGCTATATATCTGACCTTTTGCGGCGTTTGTGTCCAAAAACGCCGCTATAGGTCTGACATTTTGCGGCGTTTGTGTCCAAAAACGCCACTATAGGTCTGACCTTTTGCGGCGTTTGTTCTAAAAATGCCAGTATAGGTCTTATCTTTTGCGGCGTTTGTATCCAAAAACGTCGCTATAGATCTGACATTTTGCGGCGTTTTTTCTAGAAACGCCGCTATATATCATAACTTTTTGCGGCGTTTATTCCAGAAACGCCGCTATAGATATCGACTTTTTGCGGCGTTTGTTCAAAAAATGCCGTAATAGATATTGACCTATTGCGGCGTTTTTTGTTCTCAAACGCCGCTAACTTTAGCGGCGCTTCTTGCAGCGTTTTTCCTATCGCCGTAAATACTTTTAGCGGCGTTTAAAAACGCCGCTATAAGACTAAAAAAGCACCGCTAAAACTCTGTTTTGCTGTAGTGAAAGATGTTACACATGGTTCATAGCAGCTGTTAATTTCTCATATAGTTTACCCATTTTTAAACAAAAAATGAAGATCGATAACAATAAGAGTGTTAAAATGTTAGCATTGCTTTGGGCCGTTGTGCCAGCTGGATGAAGTTTGTTCTTAGGTTAATTGAATTTGTTATTCAGTTAATTGTTTTGCCCCGTTTACCATTGTTGGATTAAACTCCTAGTGTTGATCTGCCAAGCAATATTGTTGGATATAAAAATGGGCTTTATTGCTTATGGCTAGGATATTCTTTTTAGCCAACATTTCCCCTTTCTTAACCCTAAATGTAGTGTCATTTCTTGGCAATTTTTCCTCCTCTTTTATTTCTTCTTCTTTGCTTATGGTTAATTTATATATGCTTGTCTTCTTCTTTTTCAATGATTTCTTTCCTTTATGGCCATGGATCTGATGATGTTGTTTTTTAACATGGTATCAGGAGCTAATCGATCTAGTGACTGTGGGCGTTTTTTTTTTTCAAGATAACCAATTCAGCGGGTGCTATAGATTATTAGATCGGTAGTACTAGAGGGTCAATGAGCAGTAATCCACTGATGAAAACTACTTTTTCCAACAAATATGTGAATGTTCGGTTAGATGACAATAACTTTCTCCTTTGGAAGCAGTAGGTCATTCTCATGATTCGGGGGCATGATCTTGAGCATCTCCTGAATGGATCCACTCTAATTCATCCTAAAACGATGATTAATGAGCAAAGAGAGCTCATCGTCAATCCTGCCTATCGTGTTCACAAGAAACATGATAATTTTATTGCCTCTTGGCTTTTATCTACTATTAGTCCCTCTATTCTACCACAGTTCGTTGGATCGGAAACATCTGCTGCTATTTGGAATGGTATGATGAAAATGTTCTCTGAACTAACTACCATAAAAATTTTAAGTCTCCATAGAAAATTATGACCCTCAAGAAAGGAGAGCAATCTATTCCACTCAGATTAAAGAGATCTGTAATCTTCTTACCACCAGTGGAAGCCCTATTTCTGAAATGGAGCATATCATTACTCTTCTCATAGTGTTTGGATAGGGGAATGTGGGATTCCCATGGGAATGAAATCCACATTCTCCCGTTTGGTTAGCTCGGGAATCCCATTTGCGGTAATGTACCAATAGTGGATTTTTTAGGTATATTACCGGGAATGTAATTACCTCCCTTTCCGTATTGTTGGATTACCGACGTTTTGGACTAAAATGCCCTTAATTTTTTTTTCAAAAATATCTTTCTTCTGTCGTTGAATAATAAAAATTATACGAATGTTAAATTATAAATTTATCCTTAAACTATTTTAGATTTACAAAAAAGTCTAATTAAAATTTTATATGAAGTTCAAGGGTTAAAATAAAAATTTTACCCTTTCATTAAACATTTTTATATTTTAAATTTTGTAAAAAAATTATATAAATTTTATGAATTTAATTTTTTTAAAGAAAATATATAAATATTTTCCAACTTGTTAAAAAAACAAATATATAATAAGGGCAATTTGGTCAAATATATATTCCAATAATCTTTTATTCCTTTAACCAAACATGGTAATCTTACATTCCTGCTAAGCCAACCAAACACAAAATACAACATTCCCAGTAATCTTATTCTCTGGTAATCTTACATTCCCACTGATAATCTTACATTCCGTGAACCAAACACACCCTCAATGGCTTACCGATGGAGTTTGAACCATTTGTTATTGCTATCATTGCGAGTCGTGAATCTTTTACATTTGACATTGTGACCTCAGTACTTATTGATGCAGAGTCATGCATAAGGGATCACACGAGAACACATGTTAGCATTAATATGGTCCAACACAATCGTGATGGAAATGTCAACAACAATTCGAGGTTTGATGATGGTCGTGCTAAAAACCAATCTGCTCGTTCTAAAGATCGTCCCAGGCATCAGTGTCAACTATGTGGCAAACTTGGGCCATCTCGTGGATAGGTGTTGGCACCGGTTTGATCAGAACTATAAGAGGGTTAAATCTCAACGTGATCATTCAATCAAAGATGTTCAAGCTAAGGTTTGTAAATATGAGACTGCCGATATTCGATATAACCCTTTTGTGAGCTCCCCTACAGGGAAAAATATTTCTGATGAGAGTGCCACTGAAAACAGTGTTCATGTGAATTACTTACTTGCCAAGGGAGTTCTTTCATGTCTGATCGCTGATACCTTGACTTGAGGGCAACACATCATGTCACATATGAAAAACCTATGACATCCATTGCTTCATCGTGTACTGGTTCAGGTAAAGTGTATATTGGTGATGGCTCAACTCTAGGAATTTCACATATTGCAATGTTGTTCTGGCTACTAAATCCTTTGATTTAACTCTTAATCATGTGCTATGTGCTCCTTAGATCACTAGGAATTTTTTGTCTATGTCTCGTTTTACACGTGATATCAACGTTGATATTGAATTTCACTGTGATAAGTGTTTTGTGAATGGTGAAGAGACGGGTTCAATCTTGCTTGAAGGTAAATTGGAAGGGGGTTTGTACTATTTTGCCTTAGATTCCTCATCACATGGTACTCTGCATTACACTACTGCTTCATCATCTGAATCATATGATCTTATATCATGTGATAATTCTTCATCTGATTACCAGCTGTGGCATAGGCATTTGGGGCATCCCTCGTCTGTTTAGCGTACATTGTTTAATAAGTTTTCTGCTCATAGGACATCTGACATTTGTAATGCTTGTCAAATAGGAAAAAGCCATAGGTTACCTTTTCATGCATCTACTACTGTTTACACTCACCCGTTTGAACTTGTTGAGATAGATGTTTGGGGTCCTGCACCTATTAAATCAAATGGATGGCAATATTATGTGTCATTTGTTGATATGTATAGCAAGAATTGTTGAGCCTACTTGTCAAAAAAATAAAGCTGAGGTTTTATGTGCATTTACTTTGTTTCATTCTCTTGTCAAAAATTAGTTTCGTTCTGATGTAATTGCTTTGTAAACTGACAGTGGTGGTGACTTTCTGGCCCTGAATGGTTATCTTGCTTCTGCTGGTATTCAACATCGTTTCTCCAGCCCTCATACCTCGCAACAGAACGAGGTTGTTGAGCACAAGCATCGTTATATCATTGACACTGCTTTGACACTTCTTGCTCAGTCACAAGTGCCCTTCAAGTATTGGTCATATGCTGTTCTTACAGCTTTTTTTTAATAAATAAGTTGCCAACGGATGTCAATGAAGGTGTGTTTTCATTTCAGAAGTTGTGTGGGAAAGCTCCTGACTATCAGTTTTTCAAGGTTTTTGGCAGCCAGTGTTATCCTTATCTTCGAGCATTCAATAAGCATAAATTTGAGTATAGAAAGCCATTTGTGTTTCTCGGGTATTCCCCTCAACATCATGGTTATCAGTGTCTTGATGATTCCGAATGTGTTTATGTGTCTCGCATTGTGAGGTTTAATGAATGTGTATTTCCTTTTTATAAAGTGCCACGTATGGACAAGGATCCTCAGTGTAGAAGGATTCTCAGTTGAGCTGGGCTTTGCCATTCCCCCTTTTGCCTTTGAATCAAGATATTAGAAATAATGTTGATCTTGGTGGTGTTCAACCTGATGTTACTCAACCTGTTTCCAGTGCTAGTCTTGATGTTAGCGGGAACATTTCTTTACAAACAAGTAAGAATAATCTTGTTTTTTCTATTGTTGTAGGTGCTACTAAACAACATGTGTCTCATAATTCTTCTAATGGCTCCACACAAGGGCAGGGGGTTCAAGTTGACTCCATTGGTGAAGGGTGTGGCCCTACTGTTGTTCCTTTACAACCTGCTGCTGCTCCTTTACATGAGCAAGCTAGTAATAACCGTCACATGGTTATACGTAGTAGGGCAGGGATATTCAAACCCAAGGTGTATCAAGCTACTGTTAATGATATTCCCCTGACTGTGCAGGCTGCTTTAGAGGATTGACAATGGAGAGTTTCAATTGAAAGTGAATTTAATGCTCTCATAGTAAATAACACCTGGGAGCTAGTCTCGCTTCCTCTATATCACAAGCCGATTGGTTGTAAATGTGTTGGGATTGAAGAAGCTCAAATGAACAACTGAATAATTTTCCAAGAGGGGGTGAATTGGTTTTTTGAGTTAAGAGTAA